TCTCCAGGTGGTCTATGGCGCCACCTGCTGGACAAGAGCCACATGACGTGCCCAGGGAGTTGACTTCACCACCCAAGTTGCTCCCCAGATAGAGAAACCCAGACCTGGAGTGGCCTCTGGCTGAGCCTTAACCCCAGCTGGAGATGAGACACCCCTACACTGGAACCTAGTCACATGTTGAGCCCTGGTCCAAGCCAGTGTAACTCCAATTCTCATTCAAGCTCCCCTGGCCCTAGATTAGAGCCAGAACAGGCCAGGGGATCCAAGGACAGCACCCCCTAAAGCGAAGGGCCAGCAGGTGCCTTGGGTCCCAGGGCCTGTGGCTGTGGCCCTAGGGCTGAGCCCCTCCTTCCTTGCTGAGCTGTGTTCCCTGACAAGGTCCCTGCCATGAGAGACCCTCAGGCCCTGTGCCCCAGTGCGGCAGGCTCACGCACTGCCTACCTGGCCCCATGCCCTGCCCAGACCTGTTCTAATTCCACACCACCCTTCCCCAAGGCTGCCTCCACCTCCCACCCACCGGCTCGGGCAGGGCCTGCCGAGACTCAGCTGGGAAGGCCGGCAGGAAGGAGGCTGGGGCAGGTGCTGTGGGGCCATGGAAACCGAAGCAGGGCCTGTGCTCTACCAGAAGCTGCTGGTCTGGGAGCCAAGCTTAGAGTCCGAGGAGGAAGAGGAGGAGATATCAGAGCAGCTCATTCCGGATCCCTGGGGGCCCCAGGACTCCTCTGGGTGAGTCTGGGGGCAGCCTGGGCACCCAGCAACTCAGACCTGAGGCTGGCAAGTCCCTCCCTCTGGAGCCCCTAAGGAGGGCCAGACAACCCTGTGCTTGGCCAGCTCAGGAAACTTTCTGGCTGAAAGAGGGGAGCCTGGGCTACAGCTCCAGGCCTGGCCTGTGCCAGTCAATCCAAGGCCTGTGCATCTGAAGGGACATCTGTACCAAGCCAGCCCTGCCAAAGGCTCCCAGCCCCCACCCCCAGCAGGAGACACTTGCTGGGCAGGTTGGGCCTGGCTACACCTGGCCGGCCCCTGCTCCTCCAGCCTGCCAAGGCCCCCTCAGGCATCCCTCCAGACTGGCCAGACCCTACCTCTCCAGCCCCCTCTCCAGAGACTCAGTTTCCCCCAGCTCACTCCCACCTCTGTCTTCTGCCAGGAGGCCCTTTCTCTTGCAGACTTACACTCTCACAAGCAAGACCAAACCTTTTGGGAATTATTCCCTGGGTTCTCATGGGGTTCTTGGGGGGTCCCCCCACCTGGCCCTGGCTCAGGACATCCCTCTCTGCAGGAACAAGGCTGGAGGTCTGCCCGGGGCCTGGGCCCGACTCGTGGCTGCCCTGCTGCTGCTGGCCGTTGGTTTCTCCCTGGCCGTGAGGCAACTCCACAGCAGCAGTGGCTCTCCAGGAACATTGGGCTCTGGGGCCCCTCCACCCAGCAGGCATTCCCACGGCCCTGGCGTGTACCCCCATGGTGCCATCATCAGCCCTGCAGGTCAGTGCCAGGAGCGGCTCAGGGGACGGAAGAGGCTGGGGTCACTGGTCCCAGCCCGCCTCTCCACGACAGTCCCTTTCTTGCTGCAGCCACATGCTCCCACCTGGGCCGGGAGTTGCTTGTTGCCGGGGGCAACGTCGTGGATGCTGGCATTGGAGCGGCTTTGTGTCTGGCAGTGGTGCATCCACACACCACAGGGCTAGGTCAGTGACAACCCCAGATGGTGACCCCAACCCTGGGTCTGATCAGTAACCTGGAACTCAGGCAGTCAGTGGCCTTGACCTCAAGGCTGGCTAGTGGGTAGGAGCCAGGACTTGGGCAGTAGCCCCCACCTTAGGCTGTGACCCTTGATTCCAGATCAGTGCGATCTTGACCCCGGGCCTGGTTATTGACCCCTGTCTCCAGACCTAGTCAGTAACCCCTGACCCCAGGCTAAGTCACTGACCCTTCACCTGGGACTACTGAGTGCCCTTGTCCCCAGTCTGTGCCCCTGACCCCTGTGTGACCCCTTTGTCTCCTCCCAGGTGCCATGTTCTGGGGCCTCTTCTACAATAGCTCCTCAGGCAACTCAACTGCCCTGACATCAGGCCCAGCCCAGACCCTGGCCCCCGGCCTGGGGCTGCCCTCGGCTCTACCTGCCCTGCGCCTGCTACACACCCACTTCGGCCGCCTGCCCTGGCCACGCCTGCTGGTGGGCCCCACCACGCTGGCTCAAGAGGGCTTCCTGGTGGACACACCCCTGGCCAGGGCTCTGGCAGCCCAGGGCACAAAGGGCATCTGTCCACTCCTTTGCCATACTGATGGGACCCCCCTGGGACCTGGGGCCCGAGCCATCAACCCCCAACTGGCAGCTGTGCTACACAGGGCTGCACTTGCCCCCACCCCAGACCTCACTGGGGATGCCCTACTGAGCCTTCTGGCCCGAGACCTGGGGCTGGAGGGCCCCTCAGCTGGGCCCAGGCCCACCTTGGAGCCAGCACTGCGACTGCCTGTGCCGCAGGGCATCCTGTTCACCACCCCCAGCCCCTCAGCTGGCCCAGAACTCCTAGAGCTGCTAGAGGCAGCTCAACAGTCTGGAGGGCCCACCACATCTGGTGACCCCTGCCCACCACGCCTCCCAGCTGCTGGGACCCCCGGGAGCAGTGTCCTGGCCACTGTGGACAGCAGCGGCTCTGTGCTGCTTCTCACCTCCTCGCTCAACAGCTCCTTCGGCTCTGGACACCTGTCCCCAAGCACTGGGGTTCTACTTAGCAACCTGGTAGCCAAGTCTGCTGCCTGGGCCTGTCCTCTGATCCTCTGTGGCAAGCTGGATGACAATGAGGCTGACGTGTTGGGGCTGGTGGCTTCAGGGACCCCCGCAGTGGCCAGAGTCATGACTCATACCTTGCTCAGCCACCTGGTAAGGCCCCAAACCCATGCTCAGCAAGGACCCACCAAGAGCCCCAGACCTTGTATCCAAGGGACCCTGCTCCAGGTGGCAGCCCATGCAGAGCATGCCCATGTCTCCAGTGTCCCCAGTGGCTGCTGCCCCTCCCAGGGGTTTTAAGGTGGGGGGAAGTGTCTGGCAGGGAGGGCGGTGGGAGTAGAGGTCTCAAGCCTGGAGACAGGGGCAGGGCAATGGAGTGCATAAAGAATGTGCATCGGTTATGTGTTCACTGCTGGCTCGGGCCCTCAACTTCCAGCCTGGTCAGTTGCCTAGAATTGAGTTCCAGGTCTTTTTTCAGCTAAGGACCCTGAGGATAATGAGGAAAGAACACCAGGGCCTGGGGACAGCCCTGAGTTCAGATCCAGCTCTGGGAAGGACAGGTGGCAGAATGCCACACCCCTGCCTAGGCTCTGGGATCATAGGCAGAGCATGCATCTGGCATTTCCGTCTTCCCCTTCAGGCCACACTCTGCTGATCGCCCTCAACTGGGCTGGAAACAAAATAAAGAGCAAGTCTCCTGGACACCATGTGCCGTTCCGCCTTCTTGGTTAATTTCACATCAGCGTTTGAGGCAGCTGGTGTCTGGGATTCTTCGTGGGCAGCGCAGGAGACTCACAACCAGGGATGCGGAGCCAGGCTCATGTCTTTTCAGCTTTCCCTTGCTCTGCTCACCTTCTCTTCCTCCTGGGACACCAAGTACCAAATGTACATAGTAAATGGTTTATTCTCACTTTCTGAAATACAGTAGAGCAAGGAAGGGGTTGAGAGGGTGAGTAGGGAGTGACAGGGGCAGGGGCTGGAGCTGGGTGTGTGGAATTTCAAGGCTGGCGGGGTTGGCCCTCGCCTCCCCACCTCTCCAAGGGTTGGGGTCTCTCTGAACTACAATAACCCAAAGACAGCTTCTCAGGCCAAGAAACAGGAGTGGCCAGTAGTACTCCTCCCCGGCACTGTAAAAGGTATCTCTGATGTAACAAAAATCTTGGTCCCATCGCCTCTGCCTCCCCCTTCCTCCAACAAAAACAATTCTCTCAGCTCAGTAAATGGTACACAATCTACCCAGTTATTTTAACCCCCAAACCTAGCATTCCATAACCCACTACCAGCTCCAGATCAGCTGGAACTTTCTCACGTTACCTTGGTCCAATCCACCATTGTCTCCAGCTGGTCTTCCTGCTTTTACCCTGGCTCTCCTACAATCCATCCCCCACATAGCAGCAGAATAATCTGTTAAAAACGTAAATAGGATCAGGGCTCGTTCCTGCATAAAATCCTTCAATGACCTCCCATCACACTCAGAATGAAATCCAAACTCCTGGGCTGCCTGATTGAGAGCAGAAGGGCCTGGCAGCCACGCCCGGCTCCGCCTCCAGCCGGCTCCGCTCCCGTCTAGCCCCGCCCCCAGCCGACCCAACCCAGTGCGCATGCGCCGGGACCTGACCTGGAAGAGGCAGTCTTTGGAGCCCACGTGTTCGGCCAGCATGGCGGAGATGGAGAATATGGGAGTCGCTGAGGCTGTGTCTACTGGAGAGGCCCCGAAGAGCGGCGCCCGGCCTGCCGACCGTCATGGCCTGCTGAAGCACAGCCGCGAGTTCTTGGACTTCTTCTGGGACATTGCGAAGCCGCAACAAGAGACGCGGCTTGAGGCCACAGAGAAGCTGCTGGAGTATCTGCGCACAAGGCCAAGGGTATGGTAGCGGGGCCTGAGGCAGGAGGTTGCGTAGATTCCGGCAAAGATGTGGCGGTGGGACTTGGGGCACGGGGTCGCGAACCTGGATGCCCAGGTGAGCGCGCGCTGAGGGCCGACGTGGGCGGGTGCCAGATGATTCTTCTCACTGGCCCACCTGAGGTTGTGCTTGATTTTGCAGGGGTCATCCGAGATGAAGTACGCCCTGAAGCGCCTAATCACTGGGCTCGGCGGCGGACGGGAAACCGCCCGGCCCTGCTACAGTTTGGCCCTGGCACAGGTGAGTGGTCGGTCCTGGAAGGGAACCAGCCGTGCTGGTCAAAACGCTAGGGAGTGAGGAGGGCAGATGCCTCAGCTGCAGGGGAAGTGGCAGTTAAGAAGTTGTGGGTGGGGGAGGTGGCATCTGAGCAGAAGGGAGGTGTCCCCACGTGGATGTAAAGAAAGTGTGGGAGCAAGTCCTGTCTGCAGAAAAGCCCAGGCAGGTGGGGTAGGAGGTTGAGCAAGTTTGTTTTTGGGTACATGGATTGACCAGCCACCAAGGTACATTGATTGAAGGCAATAAGCTTTGGAGTGGGTTCCCTTATCTCTGCAGGGTTCAAGGCCCTTTCCCCTCAACGGGCACTTAGCTAATTTTAGGCCACCTGTAAGGAGTGTGGAGTGATGAAAGGGCAGTAGAGACCCAAGCCCTTTAGGATCTAGGGGCAAAAGTTACTTTCTGAACCCCAGTTGGACATGAGGCAGGGAGACAAGATTCAACTCCATTCACAGCAGTGTTCCATCAGAGACATCCTTGGCCTCGGCCAAGGCCTCTGGGCAGAGTTGAAGGGAGAAGTGGGAGGAGGTTGAGGTCTGAGGAATGTGGCTGGACCACTCCCCTGCAGCCCTCTCTTCGTCCTGGCAGCTGTTACAGTCTTTCGAAGACATCCCCTTGTGCAGCATCCTGCAGCAGATACAAGAGAAGTATGACCTGCAGAAGGTGAAGAAGGTGAGAGTGAGTGGCCCCAGGGAAGTCAGGAGCCCAGGGTGGGGAACACTTGGGCCCTTCTCACCAGGGCCTGGAATCCTTTTTCTAGGGGATGGTGAGACCAGCTCTCTTCGCAAACCTGTTTGGGGTGCTAGCCCTCTTTCAGTCAGGCAGGCTGGTGAAGGTAAGAGCTTTGGGGATGTAAGGAGGGATGTGGGCTGGCTTGGGAGTGATGGGGAAGGGTGGCACGCCCTGCTCATCCCCTCTCCCCCTCTGGGGGTACCAGGACTCCGAGGCACTGATGAAGTCGGTCAAGCTGCTGCAAGTCCTGGGCCAGCACTACAACCACTTGCAGGAGCAGCCCCAGAAGGCCCTGGTGGACATCCTCTCTGAGGTACAGGTTTCGCAGCTGTGGGGCAGTGGGGCCTTGGGTAGCACCACCTGTTACAGAACAGGGAGAGGATGCGAGTTGATGCATGGAAATGTAGCACCATCTGGTGGAAATAAAAGCGTATAGCTTGACATTTCATAGTAACTATGTTTATAAAAAGTTAAAGATAAGTATAACTTAGTAACATATTTTACTTGATTTAACATATCTGAAGTGTTACTTTAATGTGTAAAGAGTATAAAAAAAACTGTAGAGGTTTTTTGGGTGAGGAGGGGTGCGTATTAAGTCTCAAGTCCAGCGTGTGTTTTACACTCACAGCGTATCTCCATTCAGATTAGCGCATTCTAAGTGCTCAGTGTTCCTGTGTGGCCAGTGGCTCCGTATTGCACAGTGCAGCTCTAGAACAGCACCTGGCATGTGACAAGGGGGTTAAACACATTTGCCATTGTTATTTTGGGCAGAACTGGCCCCTCAGAGACCCCCCGTGCCCAACTTGGGAAACGGAGATGGGCCAATACCTAGAATCCTTTGTTACTGGGGAAAAGGAAGGGATTGGCTGGCATGTCCCAGGCTGGGCCTTTCTGCACCTGAACTTGAATCCTAGCTCTCCACTTGGGGTTCCTTGTATAAGAAATGGGATAGTCCTGAAAAACCTGAAAGAGGAATAATTAAAGGAGTGGCCCCGGGCCAGTTAACATCAGTGGGATGCTTGTTAAAGACCCAGCTTCCTGGGACTTGGGAATTTGAGCATTTTAACAGATACCCTTTGATGGTTCTGATGCCCAGCAAGGTGGATTGTGGCTGACCCTTCTCAGGCTGGCACTGTGCCAGAATCCTCGTGGGAGCCTGGCAGGTGGAATAAGGCCCAAAGCGTTCACCCCCACGGCAGGGAGACAGGATGCTGTGAAGGAGCCCCCCTCCCTCATCCTGTCTCCCCACACCAGGTCCCAGAGGCTGTGTTGCAGGAGGTCCTGCCGAAGGTCCTCAAAGCTGACTTGAGTTCAGTACTTGGCTCACCTGAGCACCTGGAGCTCTTCCTCTTGGCGCAGCAGAAGGTGCCCGAGAAGCTGGAGAAGCTACTGGGACCAGTCAACCTGTTCTCGGATGAGAACATCCCCAGGTGTGAGGGAGGTGGGCGGCTGGGCTCTGGTCCATGGGGGTGGGCGTCCCTTCAGTCCCAGGCGCCTGGCCCTTTAATTGTTCTGGGGGTGCCCTCTGAGTCCCCTCTGCCCTCCTCAACAGGCTGGTGACAGTGCTAAAGATGGCAGCCTCCTCTATGAAAAAGGAACGCAAGCTGCCCGCCATGGCCCTGGAGCTGCTCCGCCTGGCGCTCCAGGAGGACGTGTTCTCACGGTTCTGGAAGGAGGTTGTAGAGCAAGGGCTCCTGAAGAAGCAGTTCTGGCCGGTCAGGTGCGTGGACGCGTGGCCTCTCTCCATCCTCTCTCCCCTGTTAAGCGGGGGTGGGCCAGTGGTCCCTGGGGACCGAGGGCTCTGACCAGGCTCTGTCATGCACCCCCTTAGCTACCTGTGTTTCCGCCTGCTGGGCACGGCCCTGCCCCTGCTGTCCAAGGAGCAGCTGCAGCTGGTGATGCAGGGAGACCTGATCCGACATTATGGGGAGCACGTGGTCACTGCTAAGGTGGGTGCCACCTCCTGTGGTCCACACTGCCAGAAAGGGCCAGGCGACGGGGCTGCTTCCTGCACTGTTGTGGGCGGTGGGCCTCGGGTGTCAGCCCGCTGCTGCAAGAGAGGATTGCTTTTGGTGTCAGTGGTCCTGCCTGGGACGGGCAGTCACAGCTGCTGTTGGAAGGGACTTGGGATGTGGGTGTCTTTTTTTCCTATGGGTAAAGTGAGCTACCTGAGCCCCCCTTCCTATCTTCCTCTCTGAACGGAGTGTGGCAGGGCCAGCCCTTCTGCCTTCACGCCCCTCAGCCCAGGCACGGACAGCCAGCGGTCTGTCCAGACCCCCCTCCCCCCCCAGCGGTCACACTAAGAACAGTCATCACTGATGCTGTTTTCAGCACCGTCCACGCACCCCACACCCCAAAGTGCTCGACAGGAGAATCAAGTAGTAGTTAAGAGCATGGAATCGGGGACCAGACGCCGGACTCCAGCCCTGACACCATAGCAGTTAGCTGTGTACTGTGCACAGGTGGCCTCCCTTCCCTGTGCCCGCCTCTGCTTGTTCCGGAGACAAGAGGAGCAGTTCCTTCCTCTTGTTACGAGGATAGCCAGGCTAGCATCCATGGGCGCTTAAAGCAGTGCCCCGTGCACAGAAGCACAGCTGGGCTTGCTGGGTGTGCTCACTTCATCCCTACAGCTGGCTTGGGAGAGCTGCCATTCCGGTCCTCGGGGCGAGGGACAGGCGCAGAAAGTACGGAGCGGTGATTGAGAGTGCAGACTAGGGGGCCCGACTGACTGGGGTCAGACCCCAGCTGCACCGTTGGAGCCCTGTGACCCTCAGAAATTACGTCTAAGCTTTTTTGTGCCTCATTTTCTTCATCTGCAAAACAATTACACCCTTTGTGCGAAGGGTCGTTACAAAGATTAAGCACTGGAGCAACAGGGCAGCCCAGCCTGGTGGGGCGCCAGGGAGGAGACTTCCCGGGCCCTGATGTGACCCAATGTAGAAGAGGCTGGCGGCGGGGGCTGTTCGACCCCTCCCGGCCAGTGACCCCCCAATCCTGTACCCAACTCTCTGCAGCTCCCAAACCAGTTCAAGTTCGCTCCAGAGATGAACGAGTACGTGGAGGCCTTCCTGAAAGGCTGCCAGGATGACCCTGAGCGGCAGTTGGACATGGTGGTGGCCTTCACGTCCGTCACCAACCAGGGCCTCCCTATCACGCCTACCTACTGGCGGGTCGTGCGGTTCCTGAGTCCCCCGGCTCTCAAAGGCTACGTGGCCTGGCTGCGGGACATGTTTCTCCAGCCCCACCTGGACTCCTTGGTGGACTTCAGCACCAACAACCAGAAAAAAGCCCAGGACGCTTCGTTCCACGGGTGAGGGGGCCGGGCAGAAAGGGGCCTCTTGGGCCCGTAGACCTGGACCCACCCTCCCTCCTGTCATGCCAGGTTCCACGGGAGGGGGCGGGGAAGGAGAGGAGCCAAGCTGAGCCTTCACTCTTAAAGAAGACCTTCTTGGGCGTGTTCCCATGCTGGTGATAAGGGCATTGGGGAGGTCTTGGTTGGTTTTCTGTCTCCAAGATGCAACCAAGGAGAATGGTTTTTGCCATCTCTAAATGGCCTCTGTGACCCGCCTCCTACCTGCAGGCCTGAGCGAGCTGTGTTCCGGCTACGGAAGTGGATCATCCTTCGCCTGGTCAGCGTC